GACATCAAAATAGCCACGAGTGAAGGAATTTTCAAGGAACTGACGAGGACGAAATTGCAAAACAGAGAATCGAAAAAGACAAAGAATAAAAGAAAAAGAAGAAAAACAAAAACAATGCCTCACTAATGGCCGTGTGAACCAGCTTGAGTGAATCTATTGACAGCCCCGGTCTGTCGTGGCGGTCAGTCCCAGCTAAGGGCCCGGGTCGTGGGAGTAATGAGCTCTGGTCACTCTACCAGTCTCCCTCGCCCATCGGTCTGACCGTGTGGCTGTGACACCCGCCGCGAGGGGGCCGGCTTAACTCAACTTCCGCCCCGTTCGCCCATGCGCTAAAACGCGTCTCCGATGCCCAAATCACCCCCGGGGGCGCGTGCGCAGAACGTCATAATCCCCACCAATCAGACGACTCTGGGATAGAACGGCCACCGAACAATTATATTCCCCGTTAATTTCCAATTCTTCCATTATCCTAAATTCACTTAAATCTCCGGGAAATAAATATGGCCGCCGCCAAGCTTCCAGCGCTGACGGTTACCCGAAAGCCTCCCGAGACCCCCCATAATCCAATCGTCATCTCGTCACTTCCGGCTCCCAGAGGGGCGCGCCAATTCGATGGGTGAATTATGAATGAGAGCACTAGCGGCGAGGATTTACCGGGAGCAATGTCGCCTCCCAGGACCGTAAAGGGCTGGTAGTTGGAGGGAGGGGGAGGGGGCACACTGGAGTAACCATTATGATATATTCTATGACAACGAGTCTTACAGTCCATCACTGTGCGCCCTCGGAGGAGGCGACCAAAGGGTTAAACACACTGCGCGATTCCCCTTCGGCAACTATTTAGATTTCGGTGAACCTAATGTACCCGAGGTAATGCGGTGCTGCTGTTGTCAGACATGAGGTTAGAACAGAGGCGAGGATTTGAATTTCGATGTGATATAACGTGGATACTGTTGTAACTGGAGGCAGGTTGGGTGGAAGCACAGAGAGTAATTATTATAAGTCTTAGGGGAAATCATAAATTATGGACCAGGAAGATACCATTTTCAGTTAATGTGAAGAAAAGATTGGGATAGCCTGAGTATTACCAATAGAATTGATGTTATTCCAAAGGTAGAAATTAGGCCACGTACTCATAGCAGCATTGTCAGAAAACAAAACATAGAGTACCCGATCGGTAACAACAGGAACTGTAGAGTGAGTAATTCCAACAAAGAAAAAAAAAGAAAGAAACGAACAGTAACACCAATACAGAGCAGTGTAATTAAACCAGAAACGTATGATATCATGGTGTGGGCGAACTCTATTTCCAAACACTTCAAGGTTATTCAAGAGATGCGTATGACCAAAAATGTCAAATTGAAGGTTTAACCGAGCTATGTTGTTGTTGTTGTTGTTGTTGTTGTTGTTGTTGTTGTTGTTGTTGTTGTTGTTGTTGTTCCTGTTATTGTTGTTGTTGTTGCTGTTGTTGTTTTTGTTGTTGTTGTTTTCACGTTCCACATGTAAGTAAGTGATATCAGTGATAAATAAGTTGAGTTTACAGTGTACACTCCACGCAGTCTGACTGTGCTGTAAAGCAGCGTTGCACTAATACTATTAGGAATAGTCATATCAACCTTTTCCCAGCTAGCGACCACTTTCGTTCGCCGACTCGTGGGTGATATTGCCCGTGGTGACTATTTAAGCTCGCACTGAATAAACTATCTATGATGACAGACTTCATTATCGTCATTCCACAATCACCTTGGTCCTGTATAAAGTTTTGTGAAACATTTAAAGAAAAAGGGGGCACCCAAATCAGAACGATGACTTGTTCATTCGTTATTTTGTCAGGAAATAACCCAAGGGAAAAAAAGACGACCCTGAATTCGTTTGTAAGAGGCTTGTTAGTGAGTTGCTGTTATTGTTCTCGTGGTTGTTGTTGTTGTGGCTGTTGTTTTTAGTTGCTTTTTTCTTTTTGTTTATTTGTTTATTTGTGTATTTGTTTGTTTGTTTGTTTGTATGTTTCATAACGGCTTTAAATGGAAAAGATCAGATTATGGAATAATGTTCCGGACTTACATTCTAACTAAGGTGACTTTTCACCATACTTTCTGTTTTACATATGGACAGTGGTTAGTCCAGAAGAGTAGTACACTACAAGGTGGTTCACCCTCTTAAATATAGAATTTAAAAAACCCAATTCCTTGAAAGCCAAAATGTAATATTCACGATGTCGCCAGTGGTGCTGTTGAAGTTCTGTTAGACTTGTTCCTATTCTCTATATAACAGAGAGATAACTCAGTCACTGAACTTGTACTAAGCGCTCTTTAGTGTATGTGTGGGCGCCAGCAGCTTTTAGAGTGGCCTCTTTTCTCTTAAAATACGTTCTTAAATAGAGACGGCGATAATTTTTTAAGATCCGATTTTCGCTTCAGTCACTTCGTTCACAACATGGCACAGGCAAAGTGTTGCGTGCAGTCAACTTACAAGGAGTCAACTTACAGTCACACACACACGAACACACACACACACACACACACACGG